GAGAGAAGAAGAGGGAGAGAGGGAGAGAGGAGAGAGAGGAGAGAGGGAGAAGGAGAAGAGAGGAGAGAGGGAGAGGGCAGGAGGGAGGAGGGAGGAGGGAGGAGGGAGGGAGAGAGAAGAGAGAGAGGAGGGAAGAGGGAGGGAGGAGGGAGGAGAGGGAGGAGAGGGAGGGAGAGAGGGAGGAGGGAGAGAGGGAGAAGGAGGGAGGGAGGGGGGAGGGAGAGAGGGGAGGAGGGAGGGGGGGAGGAGGAGGGAGGAGGAGATAGAGATAAGGATAGAGATAGAGATAGAGATAGAGATAAGATAGATAGAGATAGAGATAGAGATAGAGATAGAGATGAGATAGAGAGAGAAAGGGAAAGAGAGAGAGAAGAGAGAAAGAGAGAGAAGAGGAAGAGAGAGAGGAGAAGAGAGAGAAGAAAGAGAGAGAGAGAGAGATAGAGAGAAGAGAGAGAGAGAGAGAGAGAGAAGAGAGAGAAGAACAGGAGAGAGACAGAGAGAGAGACAGAGAGAGAGACAGAGAAGAATGAGTGAGTGAGTGAGTGAGTGAGTGAGTGAGGAGTGAGTGAGTGAGTGAGAGTGAGTGAGTGAGTGAGTGAGTGAGTGAGTGAGTGAGAGTGTGAGGACTGAGAGTGTGAGTGTGAGTGTGAGTGTGAGTGTGTGAGTGTGAGTGGAGTGTGAGTAGTGTGATGTGTGACAGTGAGAGTGTGAGTGATGAGTGAGAGTGAGTGAGTGAGAGTGGAGTGAGAGTTGAGTGAGAGAAGTGAGGTGTGTGTGTGTGTATGTGTGTGTATGTGTGTGTATGTGTGTGTGTGTTTGTGTGTGTGTGTGTGTGTGTGTATGTGTGTGTGTGTGTATATATGTGTGTGTGTGTGTGTGTGTGTGTGTGTGTGTGTGTGTGTGTGTGTGTGTGTGTGTGTGTGTGTGTGTGTGTGTTGTGTGTGTGTGTGTGCTCGCGCCCTTGTGTAATACAATTATGGTAGAAAGTCGAATCTCATTATTTAAGATTTCAATACTTATATGCGGATACCCAGGTTAACCGAATTCTAACTGAACTTTCTACCATCACTGCTATTACAATCAAGTTCAAAATATCTACAGTGAGAGCAAAACATGATTTTATTGTGAAATAAATCTTGGTGTTGACTTAAATGCTACTTGCAATTTCCTATGTCTTTCCTGCATAGTAAATTTTGTTGTGCAACATACAGCATGCTATCTATTTCTTTTAAAATGCAAAGTAGCTTCTCTTCTCAGCAAACTGTGCAATAATAATAATTGGAAAAATGTTTCAATAAGATGACTGTGATAAGAATTTTTTTACAGGAATGCTGTTTGTAAAGTTGACTGGGTCTACAAGCACACCCATGAGAAGATGGACTTTGGTGCAAGCAATACAGCGGTAGATCTGTGTTGTGGATGCATGTCTGATGCTGAAGGCCTTCCAATACTGTTCTGGATTACTAGTCTGCATCTCAACAGGACATTACTTTCTTTTCTAACTACCTTCTTTCTATAGTAATTTTCTTTGACTATTGTTGTGACTATGAGCAGTCTTTTTTTTACAAATATATAAAAGTCCTGTGAAGTACAGCATATATATACATACAGACATAAACAGAAATATGTAAATATAAAATGAGGGATCAGGTGTCAGGCCTTTATTATCTTCTACATTCCCACACTCTTCAACAACCAAATCTGGACAATGAAAGGGCTAGAGTGTGGGGAACTCTGATCCCAAGAGGAAAAGGTGGGATGTATTTATGGTGTGAGAAAGGTCGGCCCGTGCCCTGGGGAGGGTGGGAGGTGTGAAGGTGCCTACCTTATGGCCTGCATTTCCAAGTGCCACAGGCCCGGTGGGGGGGCAGTTGGAGGGGAAGGTGGTGGTGGTGCTGGCTGCTGGCAGCTCAGATACAACATCATCAGTAACAGAGGAACCCCCGTGGCTGAGGGAGGCTGCGGCCAGCAAGGGCCGTACACTGTGGGAGGTGTTCCACTCCTTGTCTGCACCACTGGTCGTCACTGCACCATGGGTGTTCCCCGTTTGGCTGGTGCCATTACTGATGGTGGGTTGCGTTGTGGGGGGATAAGCCCCGACCGCAACATTCCCTGGGCTTTTCTGGCTGGTTGGTGTACCCTGCACGACTCCACCACCTTGCAACAAACTGACTAGCAACAGTTTCTGTAAGGACACAACCCAAACGGGACACCAGGGTGAGACATCCACCAGCGGTGGTGAGGAAACACAAGGACATGTGAGCCTCCTTCCACCCCAGGCTTATACTTACGTGCTCCGGTTCCATTCCTGGTCCCCTAGCGGCTTGGCAAAACTCAATGTAACAGAGCAAGCTGTGCAAATAAATGTGCTGAGAACTTCGTGCTTACATGCTATCACTGACATTCGCAATATAAGCAGTGTTCATTTTTTCCTTTCTTTTCATTTTTTGGCCAATATGTATAGCTGTTTGATCACCAGAGCAAAAAGGACTATTGATAAACGCTTTTATTGTCAACAATGTACTGCAAACTGATTTTTTTTCATGACTTCAATAAAAGTTTTCACAAAAAAAAAAAATATATATAAAATAAATAAAAATTAGACATGTTTTTCCATGTTTATGATAGAACTTTGCAACTACAATATCAGTGATGATTGTAAGAAGCACAAATTTTAACTGTTTCTCTTTCTTTTTTGTTTTTCTTTCTCTCTCAGTGGAGTGACATGTATTTTTCTCTCCGCGACCAATAGCTACAGGATGATTAGACATGTTTCCAGGCTTGACTCTGCAAATGCATAAGAAAAAGGTCCCCATAATGGAGAGGTAATGATGGCACCCCACCCCATTCTCGAGAAAGGTTCAGAGCATACATACCGTCTGGGGGACCATGGTGAGTGATGGCAAGACTGATGGCAGAGTGGCAGCAGAAGCAGCAGCGGCAACAGCAGCAGAAGTGGCAGCAGCAGCAGCTGCAGAGGTGGCACTGTTGCTGCTCAAGGTGGCACTCCCCGGGGACGAGAGTAGTGATGACTCCGAGTCTAGGGACTGGTCACCACCAAAGCCTGAGTCCTCATCTAAGACAAGAGACTGTGAGGAAGGTGGCGGAGGGAGGGACACTTTGGATGACCCACGGCCTTTCTTTCCACCCACTCCGGATGAGGCTGGTGGGGAATGGGAGATAACAGGTGATGAGATGGGGATATGAGGGAAACAGGTAGGTAGGGAGAGAATCACTAATACATAAGCTTAAATCTATGCTCACTGTCTTTATATCCTCTATAAAAATCAGGACAAAAATAACCTTAAAAATCAAGAGAACTAAAATACCTATAAAATGAATACTCAATCTTTCACACACGATACCAGTACTGTACAACAACCACAACGATTAAGAACACAATAAAGAATAAAAATTAGACACCAAAATGAAAATGGAAATAACAGCAATAGAGCCAATACTAATAACATCACATCACATCATCTACCTAAAGGACACCGCCAACGGCAAGAACGAGAGACGAAACGTATAATCACCCTTTAGAAATCTTCTTCTCTGAGACACCACTGAAGCTTTATTATTGACCTTCCCCATCTTGCTCCCACGGGTTCTCTCTCCATAAAAAAGCTTCACTCTCCTGGTTGAATTCTGGAAAAGGAAGAAAAAAAAGCATTAGTAAAGAGAATTATACATAAAGATGATACAAATAACTGCAATAACAATAACAATAACAATAACAATAACAATAAATAATAATAATAATAATAATAAAATAATAATAATAATAATATAAAAAATAATAATATAATAATAATAATAATAATAATAATAAAATAATAATAATAATAGTAATAATAATAATAATACATAACAATAACAATAAAATAACAATAATAATATAATAATAATAATTATTATATTATTATTATATTATTATAATAACATTATCATTATCAATTATAACAGTAGTGTAGTAGTAAGTAGTAGTAATAGTAGTAATAACAACAATGACATTATTACTATCATTATCATCACTAATATCACTATTATAAATTTATTCACTAAACCTCAATACCGATACAAGACAGTACCAAGTGCAATATATAATCCTTCAACTCATTATCTAATCTAGAGATCTAAAGACTCTGCAGAACTGGTCTGGACCGACACAGCTCATCCCTCAGCTCCCGAGGTATCTGCCTCCTTTGTTGCTAGTCCCAAAAGAGGCAACCCTAGTCACTCTCTATTCTCTTCTTTTCCCCTCTTTTCTACATCTCTTTCTCCTTCTACTTTTTTCCATTTTTGCTCTCTACTCTCTCTTTTCT